TCCTTTTTTGTTTTTTTTTTTTTTTTTTTTTTTTTTTTTTTTTTTTTTTTCTATTAAAATTTTTCTATGAATTTCTAAATTTTCCCAAATTTCTTTTGTGGTTATTCCATGTAACCGTATTAGATACACAGATTTAATCAGAGCATAATCCATACAAGAGGCTCTTTATACTTGCAATGTATTAATTACCTTATTTTTCTAACACTTAACATTTTTCTTAATAAGCAAGCACCTTATAATAATTAGACAAGCTACAAATTTAGCATCTTTCTTAAAAACTACAAAAACTAATTTACTCTTCCTAAAGTTTTATGGATATGGGATTTACCTTACATAATAAATTAATATTAAATATAATAGAAGTCAAACATTCCCCCCCCGGTTTCATAGACAAGGCTTAAGCCTAGTCCCAGACTAAAATGTATGTCTGGGCTGTTTTAACAGAAAGACATATCTTAAAATACGTCAGTGCCATTGTTTTGTCTCAAGATGCACACAAGTATTTTCTAATCTAAGGCACGTTTGTAAAAGATACTTGTATGTCCTAATTAAACTATGGCCTAATCCTGGTTTAACCTAAGCCCTGTCTGTGAAACCAGGCCTAAATCTTGAAATTATATTCTTTATTGAATGAAATAAATAAATCCAGAACAAAGAATGACATTTCTGGATGTGAATCACAAAATAAAATGTTGAATCACTATTATAAATGTACTTTTTGCATACTTTTTATGGATGATCTTAAAGAACATTTCTTTAATTTTGTTTGTATTTAAATATTTATAAGGCCTTTTCATTGAATTTTCTCAGCCTCCTTACATTTACATAAGCATTTGAAATCATGCATAGTCATAAATGTATACATTACTTCAGTAGTCACTTAATTATTTGAAAAAGTTTGAATTGTCCTACTAGACCAAATACAACAAACTTCGGCCTCTAAAAAAGTCCCTCACATTTTATTGCTTTAGTTTAGAATTTTTAGATTGAGATTTTCTAATTCTTTGCCAATACAGAAACCCTCTACAATCCCAATCTAAATTCTTTAAATGCAAATTATATACAATAATTATATTAATATTGATAAGGTATACAATTTAAAATGTATTCAGGTGATATTTATAAATTATTTATGTGTTAATTATTTATAACTTATAAGTCCAAAAATAAGATGTTTTGAGTTTTTCTGAATAAATCACATCTGGATGTGAATCACAAAATAAAATGTTGAATCACTATTATAAATGTACTTTTTGCATACTTTTTATGGATGATCTTAAAGAACATTTCTTTAATTTTGTTTGTATTTAAATATTTATAAGGCCTTTTCATTGAATTTTCTCAGCCTCCTTACATTTACATAAGCATTTGAAATCATGCATAGTCATAAATGTATACATTACTTCAGTAGTCACTTAATTATTTGAAAAAGTTTGAATTGTCCTACTAGACCAAATACAACAAACTTCGGCCTCTAAAAAAGTCCCTCACATTTTATTGCTTTAGTTTTGAATTTTTAGATTGAGATTTTCTAATTCTTTGCCAATACAGAAACCCTCTACAATCCCAATCTAAATTCTTTAAATGCAAATTATATACAATAATTATATTAATATTGATAAGGTATACAATTTAAAATGTATTCAGGTGATATTTATAAATTATTTATGTGTTAATTAATTATTTATAACTTATAAGTCCAAAAATAAGATGTTTTGAGTTTTTCTGAATAAATCACATGCAAGCGAACAGAAAAGGGAAGAAAAACAGCAATCGTGTATTCATGACATAATTTTATAGACACAGTCTTATAATTTTTCATAAGATATAGAATTTGAAATGTATTCAGGAACAAATAAATATAACTTTTTTCAATAAATCCAACCATGATATTTACATTTATATACATATATAATTAAAATAAAAATACAACATTTATATTTTTATTATTTTATTTTTGGATCGATAATACTTATAAATCTTCCTGTTGTTTTTCTGAGCAAATCATGCGCAAGCGAAAAGAAAAAGGAAGGAAAACAGCAATCATGCGTTCATGACATCATTCTATTGATACGGTCTATAAACTGCCTTCAGTAACGGGCGAATGTTTGATTGTCACTTTCAGCATCCAATCATCGGACGAATTTAACAATGACAAACACTTCTGGCCAATGAAAAGCGGCAAACCCTGCGTCTGGCCAATGAGAGCGCAGAGGGGGCGTGTCCTCGCGAAAGCGGTAGTGGCGCTGCACCGTCGGTGTGTCAGACAGACGCGGCTCCTCCAGAAGTTTTGCGCCTGACCGCGATCACCTCGCCCGGACTCTCAAATCTGCGCCAACCCCCCATCAGTTTACGGTTCTTCTAGGTTATGGAACTGGATAAAATGGACGAAAATGACTGGAAATATCACGGGGAGGGCAACAAGAGCCTGGTCGTGTCTCATTTGCAGGTTTGTGTTTAATAGTTACTAGCTTTTAGCTTAGCCAAGATTCATATAAACTCTATCGAATCGGATTCAGTCAACAGAAAATCTAATCAAACTACTTGGAAAGGACCTAAACATAAAGTTTGATAATCTTATACCACTATTAAACGGAAACAAACAGTTTCTTTGTCTTAAAAGGGTATTGTCAGGGCTTTAGAGCTAAAAGCCACCTAGCAGGCTAAACCAGGATTCATTGATGAAGTGAGTGTAACGTTACTACATGTGGCACTTGTGTGTTACCCGTGTCACACCCACTTTATGAGCTCTAAAGTTCTTTAAATCTATTTCATTGGCACATGTATGATATGTAATGCTGAGATTCATTTAATGAATGGTCAGTGGTGATGTTTTAGTTTGGGGGTGGTTCTGTGCATCTAAAATTGGGTCTTTATTGGCGATAAGATTATATCCACTTAACATTTTCCCCGTCCAGGCTTCAAAGTTCAGATTGGAAACCTTTAACAGTTTCCCCCTTCATTGGGTAAAAGATAAAAGGGGTCTAGACCGGTTTTAGACCACCATGATGGATGGTAATAAAGATGTTGATCACTTTTATGGCTGATCTTTGGGAAGAAAAGTACAATTAGAGACTAAAAAGATCTTGGCATATGAATTTTCAACTATGTAATATTGTTTTAAGTTATTACTTGGGTTATTGCATGTAAAAAGACTTTTGCTAGAACTTGGTCTAAGCGCTAAACTCTTGGTCTAAACTCTCCTTATTTGGACAAAGGAGATACATTTTTAATAAAATCTATTTCAAATTTATGTCTCAGTTATTATAAGTAATGGAAACTGTATGTAAATAATTCATGTATCGGTTCATTCAGCATGTAGGTGAGTCCTCGTCTCACTAGCATTGCAATGTCACGGTCCTGTTTTGTTAAGATCGAGGATATAATGTTCCTGTAAAACGGAAAGAGCTTAACCTTTGTCTGATTTTCCAGCTCGTTTGTGATCGTCTGTACCATCATATGATAAATAAAACGTTTGGAGTCATAAATGGGCTGGATCTGTATGACAGATTACAGCACAGAATCGTGTGTCCAATCACAGGAAGCTGCCCGAGACTACAGTGACCAATATGTTGATAAAATCATGTCAAAACTGTGTGGGGAAAACGAGTGAAGCTTTGATGCTTGTCCATCTCTATTTGCTGGTTACTTTCACTCTCCCACACTCTCCGTTTTTGTCACGTCACCTGGTCTGGTCCTATTTATGCTTTTTCATTTTTTCAACTTTAGTTAGTCTGTAATGTTGCTTTTTGAACCTAAAAAATCTGCAAAGTTACAAAGCTCAAAGTCCACTTCAAAAGGAGATATTTTATTTAACAGAGATCACTTTCAAAAACTACAAAGAACGACTCATTTGGACTACAATGCATAATTTCCAGGATTTGTGATATCACAAATATCGACGAATGGGACGAGACCTGGTTGAGCTGCACTAGAGAAGGCAACGAGTGTTATCACTATGTCGGAGACATGCTAGTTTTCCCAAGACAGATGAACTTAGAGTGGTTACAATCATCCGGGTTTAAATCGCACTCAAATTGATTTGATTTTGATGCAATATTTACACTGAAGCTCGCAGGCGGCTATGGTAAGAGGCATGACATTTCCCGACCAGGCGCCGAGTGCTGCCAATCACAACCCCCAAAACAAAATCAAGACTTTGTAAAAGAGCATAATAAGACCCCTTTAAGGTGAATTATGATTCATTTACTCATGAGCTTCATCCTTTTACGTTTAACATTTTGTGAGGCAGAAGTATGTTTTGTAAGTGTTGAGCAAGTGTGTTTAGAAACTGCATTTGCGTTTAAGTCTCCATCGTTGCATCAGTCCATAAAACAAACCGTCAGACAGTGAGTTCATCGTCATTGCCATGATATCACATTTACCTCTGTGGACCTTTTATGTCTAAGAGCATTCTGGGAAAAACAATGTGTATTCAGTTCACAGTTGAGTGGATGGAGCATTTGTTGTCCACACAAGTACAGTCACAGGCAAACCTGTTTCAAAGGATTCCCTTCTGAACTAAACTAAGACTTGGATACAGACAGCGATCAAAGTCTGTGTGAAATGATGCGTGTGATTTCTGTTTTCAAACATGTCACTTCCTATTACAGCACTGTCGAGTTCTTCGTCTGCTGAAGTTTCCCTCTGAAGACTCTGCACATACACGGCAGGTAAAACTTCCCCAAATAGACACTACTGAATGTCACTACTTCCCAAATTTCTCCAATATGCACTATATAACAGTGTTACCTTTTCTCACACTATGAACGTGATGGTAAATTGTTGATAAAACCTATAGTTAATACAAGTAATGAAAACAGTTTTGGTGATTGATTTGACTGCTCTACAATTTATTTGGTTAACGTCACAGCTAATTTGATGGCGAAAGATCTATTCATAGTATCTATACCATAAGTAGCCAGCTGGAAAACTGTAACACAGAAATGGTTACAGACTGAACCTCCGACAAAGATTGTTTGGATGGATATTGTGACCAATATTCAAAACGTGGAAAGAATGACTTTTCCATTAAATGTATGGATGCATAAATATTTGGAAAAATGGATTGTGTTCATGACTTAATGACATTGTATTTTTTCCATCAATATAACTTAAGTATGGATGCATGCATGACCAAACGATCAAGTTCTGTTAACCTTTCAATAGTCACTTTCAATTTTAAGTGTAGTTTTGTCAACAATTTCCACAAAAAGGCACAATGTTTAATGTTAAACATACTATTTCTGTGTTTTCTTGCACCGTATTGCAAGTTTTTAGCATCTCTTAGTACGAGTATCTGCAACAATATAAATATGCAAATATGCATCAAATGTTTGGTCTTGGTTTGTTTGCATTGACTTACGGTGTAGTGTCAGCTCATTTTCCTACGTTTTTCCTATCAGACCGCAGAACAAGCTTTTCGACACATCCTCAACATGGTGGATTATAGTAAATATGTCATGAAGCCTTTACTGGGGGAGAAATACGTTCACAGTGGAGTGAGTTACAGTTTAAGATGTTTGTGTACATTATTAAATCATGTTGCTTTAACACAAGCCATGACCCAACAAATGAGATGAAAGTAATGGCTTGAATGTTCACAGGAGGTTGTTAAACTACCGCTGGACTTTGTGAGACAGCTGTCGCTGAAGGTCCAACAGGAACGACCTGGTACGATTTGCAATTTTCAAGAGTTTTTTGCAGTGACATTGTAATGCCCCCAAAAAACCAAGTGTTATGATGGTGTTTGTTTTATTTTGATTGCAAAATCCTTGTATTACAGAGAATGAATATTACTAAAAACCTCAAAAGTAAAATGTACTGATCCATTATGGTAATGACAACTGTCCTAAAAAATTCCTAAATAGGCTTAATTTTTATTATGCAAAAAAAACATTGATTTTTTCCCATGACTTTGGGGTAAAATCTGACTATGATATGTGATTCATGAGATTCATCCTCTAAAAAAAATTCCGTCTGTTGTTCATCTAAACATGTTTATGTGAGATACAGTCAGTTTTCTACAACGGATTTGATGTTGCGTAACGGTGTTGTGATGTTTCCTTCACGCAGAACTGCGCTGTGATAAGGTCATGGACACATTCAGCGGGTGTGGTTTATGCCTTCCCAACCTGACCCAACTTCCCCTCTACCACCTCAGAGACCACAGACCTCCAATCTGCGTTGAGATTAAGGTGAACTCCTTCATTCTGTAGAACATAAAAGTTATTTTGAATAATGTGGGTAACCAAACAGTTGCTGGTCCCCAGTCACTTCCACAGTATCCCCCCCCCCCTACTATCAAAGTCAATGGGGACCCAGCAACTGTTTGGTTACCCATATTCTTCAAAATATCTTCTTTTGTGTTTAGCACAAGAAAGAAATTAATACAGGCTTGGGACAACATGAGAGTGAGTACTACGATATTTCTTCAAAAGCAGATCATGGAGACATTTTAATTGTCCACAATCAAAAATTGTAATATCGCACACCCCTAGTTTAGATGTATGTTTGGTTTAAAGGAATAATTCATCAAAAACTGAAAATATGCTGAAAACGTACTCACCCTCAGGCCATTCAAGATGTAGATGAGCTTGTTTCTTAATGTGAAGAGATTTGGAGAAATTGAGCATTACATCACTTGCTCACCAATGGATCCTCTGCAGTGAATGGGTGCCGTCTGAATGAAAAAAGCTGCGTGTTTGTAAGAAACAAATCATTAAGATGTTTTAACTTCACTTCTAAACAGTCACTTCTGGTCAAAACACCATTCCATAATCCAAAATAAAGCTTCCTACAGTGAAAAAGCATTGTCCTCCTACATCAAAATCCATATTTGTGTAGAACGGTTTTTGAAAGGAATATTATGAATAGAAGACTCATATTTTAGCCAGAAGCAATGGTTTTGAAGTTAAAAATGTCTTATGATGGACTACAAACATGCAGCTTGTGGATTACTTCCATTATTTGTGGATTATTGCGATGTTTTTATCAGCTGTTTGGACTCTCATTCTGTAGTTTAGATGTATGTTTGGTTTAAAGGAATAATTCATCAAAAACTGAAAATATGCTGAAAACGTACTCACCCTCAGGCCATTCAAGATGTAGATGAGCTTGTTTCTTAATGTGAAGAGATTTGGAGAAATTGAGCATTACATCACTTGCTCACCAATGGATCCTCTGCAGTGAATGGGTGCCGTCTGAATGAAAAAAGCTGCGTGTTTGTAAGAAACAAATCATTAAGACGTTTTAACTTCACTTCTAAACAGTCACTTCTGGTCAAAACACCATTCCATAATCCAAAATAAAGCTTCCTACAGTGAAAAAGCATTGTCCTCCTACATCAAAATCCATATTTGTGTAGAACGGTTTTTGAAAGGAAGAAAGGAATATTATGAATAGAAGACTCATATTTTAGCCAGAAGCAATGGTTTTGAAGTTAAAAATGTCTTATGATGGACTACAAACATGCAGCTTGTGGATTACTTCCATTATTTGTGGATTGTTGTGATGTTTTTATCAGCTGTTTGGACTCTCATTCTGACGGCCCCCAGTCACTGTAGAGGATCCACTGGTAGGCAAGTAATGTAATGCTACATTTCTCCAAATCCGTGCAGATATAGAAACAAATTCATTTACATCTTGGATGGTCTGAGGAGGAGTACATTTTCAGCAAATTTTCATTTTTGGGCAGCTATTCCTTTAACCTTCTTCTCCATCTTTTGATCATCATTAAATGAATAACCGATGCCATGGTCACAAGAAAATGCGTACATTAAATCTCTTTGTAAATAAATCATAAACTATATGCCTAATTTACATAGTTTTTCTCAAAATTATGACAGTGACTGAATTGTTTCCAAAACAATGACTTTCGAAACTATGCAAAAGTGTGCCAAAAAACTCGCCTTGAATGTGTTGACTTTGGTGTCACATGTCTAAGCTTGTCTGGTCGTTGAACTTGCTGACAGTTGTTAATAAGTTTTACTGTATTCTCATTACGTTAGGGTGTAAACACTCTTGGGTTGGATTAGTGACAGTTGTTAAACTGGAAGATCTGAGTCTGGGATCAGTTTAATATGAACGCCCGCTCTTGGGGAAGTAGACCACAGTAGCTGAATGACTCATTTAATCTATTTGTGTAGAATTTAATCACATGGCCATTGGCCAGTCAAACAAACAGGGGAAGGTGGTGTGAATCTGATCTGAAAGGCTTGTTTGTCTTCATAAAAACAACTAACATTCTTTATATAAAGCTTATTCACAACACTTCATTGTGCAACTCAAGATGCAGAGATACAACTACATATTTTTCCTTTTTCCCCACTAGCCAAAATGTGGATTTCTACCATTTTCAAGGCACATAACCAAGGAATGTAAGCGCAAAGTTTGCAGATTCTGCATGCATCAGCATTACAAGGCAAGTACCAATTGAATATCTAGTCGTTGACAAACTTTTATAGAAGTGAAGCCAGATTTCTTCAAGTAAACTTCTGCTTTAACCAAAAAAAAAGGATGGTGCAGTGTAGTGTAAACATCCTGCTGTCTGTTTGCACTCTACGCTATCATATAATCGATTCTTTGAGGGGTTCGGATGTTGCTGAAAATACAAAAATCAGTTTCAATCCCAAAGTAGAAGTGAAATGGAGAGTCTTTCATCATTACGTGACACTGTATGTAAACTTTACAGTAAAAACAAGTTTGCAGTAAAATTCCTAAAATGTTAATTTGTTCTTTACAGTTAGCCAATGGGAAGTGGAAGCGATTGAGCAGATATTGCCCTCTGAATCTCTTCTCAGGGTGAGTTACTGCTTCAGTCACCCAATGCAGGAATGGAAAGCTGGATTTATATCTTACGCTGATGGTACGACGGACTTTAGCCAGCATTGTTAACAAACCTAACTGATTACAAAGTCATTCACCAAGCTGGATGCGTCACTGGCCTGTGTTAAAGCAAAGAATTTTCCACTTGAAAAAGGAGGATGATCAACATTTTCGCAAAAGTTGTGACTCACCTTTCCACTGTGAGACCAGCTCTACAATATATAATGCATGAGGGCTTTGTACTGCTGCTTGGATCATAGGAATGCTAAAAAAACAAGATTCAGATGTGGTTATCCAGATAATCTCTATTTGTGTTGTCATGTCAAAATCAAAATGAGATGCATTATCAAAAGTGAACTAATTTTACACACCTGAATATTATTCAATATCTTGTATTCTAGGAGCAAACAGCGAATGTACGTTGCATTGAAGAATCTGTTAGAGGAACCACAAAACAACTTGAAAATCTTTAAGGTAAAAATGAACTTCTGTAATTAATTCGGTCTCGAATCGCACAAATTTCAGCCTGCTGTCTATTTTTGGAACTTTACACTTCAGATTAAAGATGGCAAATCTTCCCTCGACTTCCGTTGATGGAATGTTCAGCATTCGAAAAGTAACTCACAGGGATGATGTCATGCATACTGATTCGCAGTTGGTCTGTTTTGTGCTTTAATTCATCCACACCACTGGACGAGAACATTCTGCTTATTATAAGCACACACTGCAGTTTTGCCATCTGCTGTCTTAAATGCTTGAGCTTTTTAAATTTGAGTGGATTCTGATTGGCTGTCAATGTTTTTATTGTTCATTCGCTAGAATGTCATCATTATGGTGTGAACTTCCCTATTATCATAGAATTAGAACAATTATTAAAATGTTTATCGTTATAGTTATCATCCTTGGTGTGAATGGTCCTAAAATCTTTTATTTATCCTAGAACATTTCTTTAACTTGGAAGTAGTGCTACTATTACAAAAAAACTTAAACTGGTTTACTGGTCTTAACTGGTCTCCTTGCCAAGTCAGGCTGTTTTTGTAGAGATATTGGCAAATGTTTAGCTGGGAAACTAGCTTTGCTGACCAGCTGATCACCATCTTTATACCTGGATTTGTGACTAGCTTAAAACACCAAAGACTAGCAAACCAGCCAGTTAGGCTGGTTTAAGGTGGGGTTTTTTCAAGGGAAAAAGAAAATCAAATATAAAAAAATATTAAACTCTAGCTACTATGTCTATTAATCCACTAGAAATGTTTGATAAATAGAAAAGTAGCATTAATTCATTGTTCCTCGCATCTTTTTTTTTCAGGGCGGAGAGTTGATATTTAGCTGTAAAGACGATGCCAAGCAGCAACCCGAATTGAACGATCTCATTCAGCACCTTCGGCCTTATTTCCCTCACAGTAATGGCATCTATAACGGCCAACAGCCAGGCAAAGCCGTCCTGAACGAGTTCATTCAGGTTATCTGCTCCGCTCTGCTTAGCGGCGGGGACTCGAATCGCTCGGGAGATCCCAGGAAGGTGCACCTGTCCGAGAGCAGGCCGCACTGTGAAGCCAGTCCCTTCCCAAGAGACCTGCTCCGCAACGGTGAGGACTTTACCAGTGACTGCTAACTAATGAATATTTGGATGGCCGGCAGTGGAGAAACATGGCTTTATGCCCTTCAAAATATTGCTAAACAAGTGCAATGGAAATCCCTTCACTGATGAGTCACAATATATGCGCAGGAGTGAACTGGAGCGAAAGTGCTTGACATAGTTGAAGAAAAGAAATTACACGTTATGGGGTGTATAAAAGGCTGGATTATTGAGGCATAGAAATTACGCAAGACCAGCAGAACACGTTGTGCTCATTTTCATGTGTTCACAGGTAACCACGGCCTCCCTATAGACAGTGTCCTTGCAAAAGTCCTCCAAGTTCAGATGCTGGATAACCTGGATATCGAAGGAATCTACCCTCTGTACAAACGCGTGGAGCAGTATCTAGAAGAGTTCCCGAAAGAAAGGTGAATTTTTAATCTGGGATATTGAGTGCTGCGCTACTGATCTGCCAGATCAATACTCGTGTGCAAGAATGCTTTGTTCCTGCTGAGTAAAGTTTCTGTTGGGCAGATCCTGTGCAGCATTCACCTGTACTGAAATCATTTTGATAAAAAATACAGAATAGCTGGCAAATCTTAATTTGTTTTGAGTTGCTATAAATTATAGTACAATTTATTTTAAGTAAGTTTAAGTTATATTATGGTGCCTTGAAAGACTTAACAGACACTAGGTGGTGCAAAAGACTCATTTGTGAATGGATATACTTCAGTCTAGTCATGAGGCACGGCAGTCACATTGTGGTCCTGTGCAATGTGGTCATAGGTGATTTCCATGCAGGCCACATGATCTTTGAACAAACATCCTTAAAATCACTTAAACGTGTAATTAACACCTGTTTGTATCTCCAGAAACCGACTGCAGATAGATGGGCCTTATAATGAGAGTTTCATGGACACGGTGAAAAACTGTCCTACTGAAGATGACGGCTCTGTAGAATATGCAGTTGGGAAGGTAAGACCGCGAACATGTGACGCCTGAGGCAGTAATTAAAGCAAAAGGAGCCCCTACCAAGTATTGAGTACATGTACAGTAAATTAACATACTTTCCAGAAGGCCAACAATTCACTAAAAATGTTTTTTTATTGGTCTTATGAAGTATTCTAATTTGTTGAGATAGTGAATTGGTGGGTTTTTGTTGAATGTGAGCCAAAATCATCACAATTAAAAGAACCAAAGGCTTAAACTACTTCAGTCTGCGTGCATTGAATTTATTTAATACACAAGTTTCACAATTTGAGTTGAATTACTGAAATAAAATAACTTTTCCACGACATTCTAATTTTTGAGATGCACCTGTATGCCTAATGGAAACGCATCAATTTCGCAAAAATGCCCATATATCGCAAAAAAGTTTTTACGCTCGCATGGTGGTTTTTCAGGCAATGCGAAAAAGGAATAATTCGCAAAACTGCAATGGAAACGGTTTTTTTTGCATTTACAGGTCACATGGCGTATGTAAAAAGTCATATGATCATTCTTCAGTGTACTATAACCTCCAAGAAACACTTCATACGTGGCCGGTCTCCAGTATAAGGGGCTTTCCTACCATTAATGCTTAAAAAATTTACACTGCACACGTCTGCGGTTCAGTGTGGCTCTGACATGGCCACTCTAGTCAATGCTTGTGTTTATTCCAGCTGCTCCACGTATGTTTCTGAAGCGGCTCTCTGTGCTGCTTCTGTAAAGATACACGCTTACACCTCCTTTGAATAAATATAGCCAAAATCTGTTAAAATCCCACCAAAATCCGTTGCCATGACTTATCGCGAGAGGCAAAAGGTTACGTTTTAGTCGCATAACATTGGTTAATGGAAACGACGTCACTTTGCAATACTTTTTTATCGACATTTATAAAATATCGCCAAAGTTTTGCGCAAATCTGTAATGGAAATGCGCCTATTGACTCTATATTTCATGCATGTAATCTGGAGAGATGAGTCATGGTCACCATTGAAATATACAGGAACTTGTAGTCGCTTGACACTATATATGTGTTTCATGTGCCATCAACAGATGCAATTTCCATTTCGCTTTCCTAGCTGATGCAACTTACCCGGGAAGTTGAGGACTTCTTATAATCATGAGGTCCGATCTGCATCCCTCTGGAAGGCTGACCACGTCTGGGTACTTCTCCTGCCAAACAAACCACCTGTTTATTAAAGGAATTAAAATCCCAACAGATTCCATCTGACCCACAGCAACCTGGTTCCAAAACAGTGGCCGATAACAAAACACATACGAACAAAATATGCGGAGAAACTTACATTTTAGATGATTGCATAATTGAAAGTGTAAATAAGTTATTTGCTCCAAAACAAGGCAAGAATACACTGAAGTCAGTCTGAGACTGTCTGCACTGAACACTGATGGTCTTAAAGGAATAAATCACTCAAAAACTTTATAATTTATTCCCCCTCATGTCATTTCAAATGGTTTTGACTTTCTTTCTTGAAACACAAAATGTGAATTTTTCAAGAACGTCCAGGCAAGAACATAAAGAAATATTCAAATACAGTCAAAGTGAATGAGGACTAGGGCTTTTAGTTTCCAAAATCACCATAAAAGTCTCATAAAATTGGTACATAATTTGACAAATTGCTTTTGTTCCTATTTTGTAAGTTGCTTTGGATAAAAGCGTCTGCTAAAAGCATGAATGTAAATGTAAATTCAAAAGTCTTCTGAAGTCATATGATACTTTTATGTAAGAAACAGACCCCCAAAATTCATTTTTCATTGTTAATTTTATCACTGTAATGAGCTGTTCACTGTTGTGACTGGATCATTGAGACAGTAACGTGAACCGGTTCAACCTAATTCCTTAACGAACCATTCAGACCAGTTTTGTAAACTAGACTCAATTATACTGATAAAGAATCTGGAATATTCCACAGAAATACACAGAATTTTACAACATTTTTATTTTTATGTGAACTATCCCTTTAATATACCAAGTGTTTTTAATAATTATTGAGCTGAAGACATTTAATAGTCATACCTTCAGGACTTTGAACCACAGAAGAGAAGATTGAATACACAGAACCATTTAATGCTGACAGTAAATAAAATAAAAGAAGAGAAATGTTTTGGTAGAAACCACTAAATACAGTTAGAAATTATACCCTTACTTACCCTGTCCCTTAATTAGATATTAAAACATGTAAAGATACTCTGTATGTGTTTTAATAAGTAATTAAGACATCTAATTAAACTACTCTTAAATTTAACTCCTCATTTGCCTGAATTTTAACTAGCTAATTAAAAACATATGATAATTCACACCATGTTCCCACAATCAACCAGTACGGCCGTCACAGATCCCTTAGACAAATAATCAGACTTTCCCATTGGACATCAAAACTTTCCAGAATTTTTTCCTAATCCCCACATTATATAATTGGGAAATGCTGTCAGTTACACCATTAAATTGATGTTCCCTCTGGTAAACACAAAGTCTTTCTCTAACAAGTATCTCGAAACCTGTCTGAATTTGTGTTTGTGATGTTCCTTACGGCCCAGTGAAGACTAAACACTTATGTTCTTAGAGCGAGACATTTACATTTTTGCAAATGTTTATTTTTACACGTACACATTGATTCTGGTCAGTCGATGAGTTATGTAATTAGTTTTTAAGTCACAATGACTGTATTCTTTCCAGTTTGTTCTATGCACACTTTTGGCACCGATTAAATTTATTTTATTGAAATATGGAGATGTAGATCGGCACTTATGCAAAACTTTTATTTTACAAATACAAATTGGTGTATGCTTTTCACTCTGCACATACAAATGTTTTTGATTATCAATTTTAGTTTTTACATGAAAGATTTTGAATCTATTCAGAAAACTAGCATTTGCCAAGACTCTTAACTAATCATAAATATCGTAAATAACTTCATGGAGCTTCCGTTCAACAATTATTTAAAAGACACCACTGTTTTTGGTAAATGTGACCAAAGGCTTGGCTTCCTTGAACTAAGCCATTAATTTAGCATCCTTTACACAACCTAACCATTATTTGAACTCTATACCTCTATTGTCTGATCCTGGAACGACATGTTATACTCCTCACGGATCCCTGTCAACAGTTATTAAAACAACGAGTCTCTGGGCTTGTTCAGAGGTCAATACTGTCTGGATGTGAGGGATCGTCTAAAAACTTGAGCTGAGAAATCAGAAAAGCTGCAATTCTGGGACTCCAAGTACATTTTCAGAAACACTGGAGTTAAATGTTCAATCCTTTCTTCCAGCACACCACAGGTTGCACCAATTAAAGCATTGTTTAATGTACACCAAGGTTTGTTAACAGCGGATGACCCGAAACTGAATTGTTAATCTGAATGCCTCGAGGGCAATTTTGAGGTACCCAGCTAAAAGGAAAGAAACACAAAACCGCTGACTACACACATGACACTGCTGAGTACTTAAGCTCTCTGGCACAACATGAAATCTTCCATTATGTTAAAAGTTCCATAAGGAAATATAATGAACCAGATGCTGAAGCAAACTGACATTACCGCAGTGGAAAGAGATGTCTGAACGCAAACAAAAAATACAGTCCAGCCTTTTGACAGACATTATCATGGTGCTAGGCAACCTTCTCGGTCTCAAAGTAAATCACAAATGGTCCGTGACATTATACAGACCATTCATTCTGAATTCATCTGTGGAAATAGTGATTTTTTTTAAAGACATCCTAAATTCAACATCCTCTAGTGAGTTTATTCAAGAAAAGAACGCTATGTTGATTGAGTCAACAACCAAACAGAACTAGAAGAACGTCCTATTCTCATAACTTAAGATGTGCGTAACAGAAAGTGTAGAAATGCATGAGGTAGAACCATTTTACTTCCATGATGCGACAGCATTTTCAAAGATGTATGTAGGGAGGGACTTGATGTCGAAAAGTGGTTTCTGTAGGACAGGTAGTTTGGAAGGATGGGACTGAACTTGGGATTGACTTGTTGGCGTCATCTGAAAAGGAAAGTAATTTCAGAGGTGGAGCAAGTACGTTTATTTTGATGAAAAATAATGAAGATTATCTTTTTCCTTTGGATTCATGTACACCAATAAATCATGCACAATTAAGACCAGGAACATGTATAAAGAAAGTTCACACACAGCAGTTCAAACAGTGAACAGTCGCAGCTGTTCATTCCAGCTGGTTGAGTCACTGAGCTCCGGTCATTACCTGACGCCAAGTCAAAACATCCTACGGTGCTGAAACATCTTACACCATTAATTTCACAGTACAGTTAAACTCTCTTTTGATCTACGTCTTGTAAAACTCATCTATTTGCAGTTCTGTCGCTAAGGACCGATGAGGACTAGGCTGTAAAAACCTTTGTATATTGTTTAAAATGATCCCACATACACAGTACAACTCTTAGGTTACTTACACTACTAATCTTTTCGATGCAAGGAACGGTAACGCACTCGGTCATGTAAGAGTGATATCAGCTTCAATCTAAGGCTGGATGTGTTTGCAATTTAGCATCTCAAGGTAAAAAAAAGATTGTTTTATTCTGAAAGCTCTGGAAAATGTCAGTATGTCAGTAAAAAAGTATGCAGTCATTTCTGCTCATTAAAGACTGTGGAGTTTCATCAAAGTTATTTACAAAAATGTCAAACTTTTAAGAGCGTAAAGAGTATTTGAACTACCTTTTACCATTGCAAACATTTAATAGTTTAATTCAAAAACAGGTTCAATTTAATCAGCTGATTTGCCAAATCTTCAGCCATCATCTTTATGACCTCTTAGGTTACTTACACTACTAATCTTTTCGATGCAAGGAACGGTAACGCACTCGGTCATGTAAGAGTGATATCAGCTTCAATCTAAGGCTGGATGTGTTTGCAATTTAGCATCTCAAGGTAAAAAAAAGATTGTTTTATTCTGAAAGCTCTGGAAAATGTCAGTATGTCAGTAAAAAAGGATGCAGTCATTTCTGCTCATTAAAGACTGTGGAGTTTCAAAAATTTACAAAAATGTCAAACTTTTAAGAGCGTAAAGAGTATTTGAACTACCTTTTACCATTGCAAACATTTAATAGTTTAATTCAAAAACAGGTTCAATTTAATCAGCTGATTTGCCAAATCTTCAGCCATCATCTTTATGATGATTGGCTATTAAACTACACAATGTATTTAAAATATATTTATTTGTCTACAGACAATGAATCAAACCTTCTAGTCACAACAGACGAACAGCATTTTTACTGTATAAACTTGCATTATCTTAATAATAATGTTATCGTGATAAATGACTAAAATGACATTGGCATATCTGTTGTGAGTTTAACAGTAAATTACACCAAGTAGTCCAGAACATAGTCCTCACTGTTTGTCAAATAAATCTTATATTCATGAATCTTATTATACAACAGTTAGGTCACGCAAAGCATGATTAGCTTCCTTTGGAAATATTTTCTTTGGCGGAGAAAGATATAAGAACTAATTGGCCAGATTTTTTCTAAAACGCAAGTTAGTTTGATATCAGCTTCTTGTTTGAATCACAGCCATATAGCTGATGTTTATTTTTTATCATATATTATAGAGCTTTGGTTTCTTTTGAGGCATTATGAGACAATAGATGGACAATAGATGTGATTTACAGGAAAACCTTTGAGCATACCAATCCAATTATAGCACACAACTGCTTGACCACGACCCCTCCGTGTACAAAATTGAAAGACGAGAAAGCTGAGGTCTTTCTTCTCAGCTCAACATGCTCACCCTCTGAAATGGGAGATGGGGCTGTCTTATTGGGCAGTAGGGGGGTCGACTTGAAGACCCATCCAGAAAAGCTCGAAAACCAGTCCAGACGTCCTCTGATCAGCTTACTGAAGCTACAATGTGTGCATTTACAGCCCATTTTCTGCACTTACACAATGTTTTTACAGAGTCGGTAATGACAAGCCAGATGCCACCTCTTTGTTTCAGTACAGTAGCCTTCCTAGCCTAGTAATTAGGTCGAACAAAATCACCAAGTTCTTTCGCCTGAGAGAGGCAGTATCTTGTCACGACCCTCATTTGGCTGAAACTTTCTGAGACAGAACTGGAGAAGTGTCCCGACTAAACGCTAGAGCAGCCCCTGTCTGTTTTTGACATTTATCAGCGTTCTTGCTGCGGAGCAGACGCACACACACTTCTTGCGTTGCTGGCAAATCCCACAGCTTTTGGGGAAAGAGTGGAAATATTTGGCCTCACAAAACTGCCCGAAACCAGTGGTAACGTACAAACGACTCTCTCCTCTCTTTCAGCTCTCACCCTCAGTAATGTCGTAAAACACTTTTTTGTACAACACTAATTGTATTCCTTTTCCGTCCGTGCATGTCACATTTTTATGGGTTTACAGATTAAAATTTCTCATTGCATGCAGTTTGGAACTTCTTTGCTAAACACTGATACATTTGCAGCTGGAGTGACGACAACTGTTTTCGGAAATAGGTCTGCCTCATCGCTGAAGCACTAGCATACAGCTGCAGGACTGTAAAAGTGATTATTGCTTTACTGTACCTGGTTTTCATTACAGCGTTAAGAGAGGGGGACCCCATATCATGCACATCCCTCTAGGATGTTTTTACTCACAGCAGTATATTTCAGCCCTCTCTTTCTGTGTCTAAGCTGTAGGTTTTATAGATTCTTTCCATCTGAGCCTGGTCATCCTAAAGAGCTTAATTAAAACGCTTTTACCCTTCATCTACATTTCTGTTTTTTTTCCTCCATCCATTTCACCGCGGCTCTGATTTAATGTTAACCATATGAATTTGCCTGAGGGTCAGAGTGACGTTTGTAGACTCCCCCTGTACACAAATCAGCATTGCTCAGCTGTTGACTTTATTCTCGTTTCCCATTACTGTAAGTCGGGGAAATCTGTGTTGTCATCTTTTTCTTGTTTGGCTTGGCCTTTCTTCTGCAAGATATTTAAACTTTGTGATGCAAGTAACAGATCTGTGTTTTTAAAAAAACTGGTTCTTCGGCATGTAAACTAAATTTCTTTGAAACAGGAGGCATGTAATCAAAGAAAATTTATGCACTGACATTTTCAAATAAAATACAGCGTAATGGCAACAGAAACTCTTTACGCTGTTCAAAACTTTAATTTCTGAATTATGACAAATTATTACTTTTAGTCTTGAACTGACTAAAACAATTCACTGAAACTGCAGACTTGTGAATGAATGAGTACAAAACAGAGTTTCCAAAAACCTATCACTGTTGACTGTCTGGGCATATGAACATGCATATATATGCACATATTTTGTTACTAGGGATGCACGATAGTGGATTTTTGCCGATATCTGATATGCCGATATTTTTCAAATCTTTTGGCCGATAGCCGATGCCGTTATATTTCCTTTTGTTTGGAAACAACACCAAGAATCAACACCAAGTCTCTCCTGTGTGGAAATTATAAGCAAATAAATTAAAATTTTGGTTCGTTTTTAACAAGAACTTAGAACACACAGCAGTTCAAAGTTCTAAGAACTTAGAATTAAATAGACAATAATGAAGTTATTTTATAATGACAGTACATTGAAGCTTTGAAAATAACTATAAATAAACTATATATCAATCGCTGCATTTTTTTTCAGAAAGATGCAGTAGTAACCTTAACATTTTATTTTAAGATTTAACATTTGTAGATGGTCTAAAGCAAAAGAGTTGTAAAAATTCTGAAAATATTTTAGCGCTCATAATTTGTTAAAAAAACTATAACATATTACACATTAATGAATAAATCAGTATAGGCTATATAACATTATTTAATTTACAAGTGTCATGTTTGTGATTTTTTTTAAATTAAATGTAAGCGATAGCTTCTGACCTTTAAATCAAAACATACTCATGATTTTATGACATCAATTACTGCTTTATTTAATCAGAAACAGTCTAAAATGTTATTTGTGTATTTTACTTTAATTTTATTAAAAGTAGGCCAACAGTGCCCCCTACGAAATTAAAACTCCTTACCGAATGGCCATTAGGACCCGGGGGAGGCTGCCGCTGCTGGCGTTGCACTTGCTATTACTGTTTACTCTATCATACACCGAATGCCTCATTCTGTACGTTCAGTTCTCAGTTTAAATGTAGCGATCCAAAGCAGTGAATCTAATCACCATTCAGGCAAAACTTTGCTTCAAAAATGAGTCACACTGTTGACGTGATCTAACCGCTAACACACCCTGAGCCCATGTGAGTTGACGTATTTCTCTTATCGGCAATACATATCGGCATACTTTTTCATATTGGGCCGATGCCGATATGTGCATTTAAAGCCATTATCGGCCTATTTCGATATCGGTCCGCTAATATCGTGCATCCATATTTGTTACACAGATGGGTGTTTGTGCTGCATGATATAAATAAAGTAATATAATTCACTGCTGTAGCATATTGCAGCTATAATTCAAGATTTTAGCAATTCAGTTGAAGTGACTTTAGGTTACATTGAAGTACTTTAGAAACAGAAAATATGTAAATGAGAACTGCTTTATTGGGCATTTAGTTGTATAAAAATGCAGTACTTTATGTAACAGTTCAGAGAGTAAACACAAATACAACTTGACATCATGAATATGATAATTAGCATATATAAAGTTGAATTGTTATATAAAATTACAAGCATGTTTTTTAAAAACAAGTTTTGTAATAATTACTTTGGACCTTTTGACGTTGATGAGAATTCAGATTCGGACCTTTGAATGTAAACTTTGAGAACCCCTAGTGTAAAGAATCTGTTACTATTCAGATAATAACCGAAATTTACACTTAAAATAATAACCCTTTCATTACCATTCCACTAACAACTTAAATTTAAACTAATATATTTGCAATTCGGAAATTGCTACCAGGTTTAAAGTTTTGAAAACTGCATAAAAACTTTTCATTACCATTCTGCATATTGAATTGAAATGATCCAGGTTAATAACTAACTGATTCATTGAACCAAGAACCATGTCTTTCAGACA